CCTTGAGTCGCCAACCCCCACAACCCCGTGCTGCTGCCTCTGAATCAGAGGCAGCAACACAAGGGCAGGGGAGAGCTGGTATACACGGGCAGCCAGCTTCAAAGCCAGATCTCAGCATGTACTGGCTCCTGCCGAGCCAACTGCTCTCCCACCCCTGCCTCTGCCACAAAAGCAGCAGGGGCCGGGGGGAACAGAAGCTGGTTCTTGTGGGGAGCCATCTTTTAAGCTGGCTCTCCATGACCACTGCCTCCCACCACCTCCACCCTCATGAAATGTTCAGCAGATACACATTTACACTAAAACACATTTTAACAGCCCTAGTGTGGATCAGTCAGCAACAGTGGACAAATTCTGCTAGGTTTTTTTTGGGGGGGAGGGGTAATTGAAGGCTATATTCTGTTCCAAAGCGTAAACACTTATTTAAGGGGGAAAAAGAGGATAAACAAACATGAAACATCAGAAAAGGGTCTTTTCTGACATGGATAATATTCTTTAGACTATGCCAAATTTAGACACAAAATGAACTTTAGGGAAGAGACACCTAAGTTAAGTTCATACAGTTATGCTTATTACAGCTAATCACAACTAAGGCATGCAGTGGCTAAGAAACTGCCACTTATGTTGCTGCCTCAACAAGATCAGTTTCAAGTTGTCTTACTCAGTTACTTGTCTCACCACCGTACTCCACTCTATTGCACTGAAAAGCCTGCAGTCAGTCAGTATTAGTTCTCTCGTAGCAACATGCAAGATTCCTTCAAACTCCTTTCCAACTACTGGCTGACCTCTTCCAAAGCTGCCTCCCCAATATGCATGTGAAACGTTAACCGATTAGCATCACCCTTAAAGGTACTGGTTAACTGGTGGGGGCAGGGGAAGCTCCTATCCATGGCAAACCCTGGCACGCTGCAGGCAGGGGCTGCTCCAGCCAGACTCCCATAAGTCCATGGCTTTAAACCTTCATAATTAAAAATCAGATTTCCTTTATCCCTGCTTAACCCATCTAAGTGTTCTCACCAAAGGACTGTTAACATATTACACAGAAAGAACGTGATTAAAAACAAATGGCAACACTTTTGTTTTGAAAACCAAAACCAAACCAACCAGGTCTGTATGTTGTGGTCTATCTACAGAAACATATCTCTATACTCTGCAATTTCAGCATTTGTACCTTTCACAGACTTTTTGGGAAGCCACTTATGAAGCCAAAATAATGAAGCATCCAGTCTGGTCTTAGTATTGCCACAATCCGGGAACTAATTTGTTGCAGGAAAATCAGTAATACCCTGTGATGATTTCTTACTCATTGAGACAAGAAATAAACTCACACATCACACAAGCTATATTCTGCAAACATCCCTAGAAGAAACCATTGTAAATGAAGGTACGTCTAGACTGCTAGGATCTATCGGAAAAATATACGCAAAATGCACTTTGCATATGTTTTTCCGATACTTTTTTCAGAAGAGGCTTTTCCGACATTTGGCCTATCTAGACTGGGCCAAATTTTGGGGAAAAAAACCCTCTTTTGAAACCCCCCTTTTTCCCTTATGTGGTGGAATTTTTTTGGGATACCTCTGGTATCCTGAAACGCCCCCTGCCATCTAGCCGTATCTTAAGAGAGGGTAAGATTTGGAAGAGGCTTTTTTAGAACCCCACTAAATAATCGTTTAGATATCTCCATAGCTAAAGCAGAATAAACAACAACAAGCTTCAGAGCTGCTGAATTATCCAGTAGCAGGGTTAGACTCCAACAGCACCAAAGACTGCAAACTCTACTAACAAGTAGTGTATAAACAACCTCAACCAAAACAGCAGATGTAATCCTTACCACATCTTTCAGTTATTTTCCTCAACCTACCAGCATCTCATCAATTTTACCTGGACTGAGCTTCATCCAGAGAGCCCACATCTAAATCACAATTTCTACCAAACATTCACATCTGATTTTATGAACAAACTAACACATTTGCCAGGCATTGCTTGGGTCCTAAAGGAGGAGCTCAGGGCAGGGGGTGCAGGAATCAGAGACCTGGGCAGGGGAAGGGGTTCTGGGCAGGGGAATTGGAGTGGTGGTGTGTGTGTCCCCAATGTAGGACCAAAGGCCAGCCCCTAAGATTCATTCCTGGGTTGGTTGCTCTTCCCCCTCCTCTCCCTGATAGAGAGCAAGAACGAAGTGCATATCTCATCTGCCCCCTGCTCCCCAGCCAGAGTGAGAAATGCACTTTCCCCTCACTTCCTGATGAAGGGAAACAGCCAGCAATGTCCCTGTACGAATGGGGGAGGGAGAATTTCAGTCCCCTCCAACCTCTCAAAAGGGTGTCTGGGGTGTCCATCCGCTTTCACCTGCTTCTATCTCTTTTCTGTATGGTTTTATGGGAACTAATCCCAATCCAGGCATATCCCATTTTCCTGGGACAACCAAACCCTTACGTTGATTCAAGTTAGGATAAGAGGAACCTGTATACTGAATCTGGTGATCCTAGCTCTTACCATTTAGAAGGAGTTCTTGAACAGACAGACAAATTCTCTCAAATACATAGTAAATGGTGAGGCTTTGAGGGCCAACACTTTTCTTGGCTTAACATCAAGCATGAAAATAGAGATGTTAATGGGTAACCAGTAGGCATCACCCTTAATGGGAGATACTTATTGGTTAACAGTTAACCAGTACTTGGGGAGCAGCAACATGAGGCTAGAAGCAGCTGGGCTGGAACAGTCCCTGCCTGCTCCTGTTTAATTAGTTAACTGGTTAAACTTAAAGTTTCACTGGTTAAGATTAACATGCTTTTCCATCCCTACGTGAAAGTCTCCAATAAATTATGAGGAGTCCTATGACACTTAAAAGAATAACAAATTATTTGGGCATATGCTTTCATGGGTCAAAGCCACATGAAAAGCGAGGACGCCTCATTTTTATAGATATAGACGAACATGGCAACCCTTCTGAGCCTTATCCAATAAATTACTGATTTGAGCAAGATTTTAAACTAGGTTTGTAAGTCTTGATTACAAGGACAAAGACAGCACTTGATAATTTATGTACCCAAATGGAAACCTTACAAAAACCTCTTAAATTCAGACAATTAAATTGTAGGTTCACATATTTGAGTTTGAGGTTTCATTCAATCCTATAATTTAGGATTAGTTTCTAGAAATTATGGGATAGTATTCAGAAATTCAAATATTAACTAGGGAGACCTACTCCAAATAAAAAGCAACTGAGTTAGTATTCAAGACCAAGCCTCTATGCTCATACCAGATACTGACAAAGAATGTTTAACAGGCCCATTAGCAAGAATTTCTGTGTGTGCGTGTGCATGTGCGCAAGCTCCGGGAGTGGCTGGTGGCTGCTCCTCCCCCACGGCCCAGCTCCACTCTGTCCTTACTCCTGGGGAAGGAAGGGGGGAAATCAGCCCCAGCCTTCCCCTGGCCAGAGCACAGGGAAGGGAGGCTTGGGAAATGCACCTCCTCTGCCTTTTCCAGTTTTCATTTTTAATTTCTTTATAAGCATTCTAAGAAGTGGTACATCACAAGTGTATTAGGTAAGTTGGGTTATGTTATATTTTTGCCTTCACAGAGCTAGATGTTTCTTTATTACACTTTGGGAAACATGCAGGTGGCCACTTATGTTATCTACAAAAGCTGTGGCAACAGTATTTGAGATCCAAGTTGTCCTTGAACAAAAGACAACCTTAATTTTTAACTCTCTAACTGGTAGCACATGCAAAAAGACCAAAAGTCTAGGACTTGTTTTCCTAAAATCTACCAGACTATGAGGTTATCTTCTTGAGTGACATTTTCTAAGATCACAATCTTACAAAAAGTCTCTGTGGGGATCATTTTTCCAAAAAAAAAGTTCAGGGTAAGCTATCTCTAGCTATATGACAGGACAGTGGTACAGCTGTACTGTGGGCATAATTAAAACACTCCTATGTTAGAAGGAGGTCATCTCCTGTGAACATAGTGCTGTCCAAACCAGTGTTTTTGTCATTTGCTGTGTGTCTGTTTTCATATCCCTCACCAAAGTTTTACCGACAGAAGTATTATTGTAGACATATCTTTGTAGCCAGCAAATATCCTTTCAAACATCAATCTGTAAAAATATGGAATGTTTGTATGAACTGGAGATTGAGAAAGAAATGTGAAGGTGGGAAAAATGAAACACTGTAATTAATAAGTATTTGAACTGACAACTAAACACTGTGGATGTATTATGCACATTTCCAATGCTCTAGAGACATTTTATTAACTGAAAAAACTCCACTTACTGCTTACACAATAAAAACAAATATAAACTAGGGACAGAGGTATTTTTATTAAAAAGTACGATATCTAACATTTGGATTACATGGTGTTTATAAAGGTTAGCACTCAGTGTGTACAATACTTAACCGCACTTACCTAACATGCTTAAAAATTTAAAAATATCACTTTTTTCCTACTCTACATAAGATCTAACAGTTTTGGGGCAGCTGAAGTAGTAAGAATGCGATTTTTCGATCCTTCCCAAAACCTAACAACCATCACTAGGTCAGCCCCCTTGCTTCACTCCCCCCCCACTCCAACACACTCTCTCCTCAGCTGATCACTCCATCACCCCGCTGTCATCCATCCCTACCATCCTGACACCCCTCCCCAACTAACCCCACCCGGTCACCACCCTTCCTCCCCCCGCCGAATCCCACCATCACATCCTCATCTAACACAACGCACTCACCGCCGGATCCGCCACCCCGGTGCCCCCCACTATCCCGACGCGCCCTCTCGCTTCCTCTCACCGCGCCCAGGCCCGTGTTGCTGAGCCACGAGTGCCCCGAAACCTCACGCTGTCCTGCCACGCCAGTGCCCCCACCCCGCGCCCCAAGGCCGGCACCCCGCGCTGCCGAGCGGCAGGAGCAGCTACCTCACGCGCAGGGAGGCGCGAGCGAAGCGAGCCCCTGAGCCCACCCGGGGAAAGGACCTGGGGGTACGGTGGGGATCTTGGGGCCCCAAGTACTGACCAGCGGTGGCCAGGCCCCAGCTCAGGAGGGCCGCGGAGCAGAGCAGCAACCACAGCCGCTTCCGCAGGGCCATCGCTGGGCTGCTGTGAAGCGACACCGCCGCTGAGGAGCTCCAAGTCCGGCTTCCCCACCCCGCCCATCTGCCTCGCTGGGGCCAATCACCGCACCCCACCTCTAAGACAACAACCAATTGCTGTGGGCCATTTACAGTGCGGGCGGCCCATTGGACGATTGCTTCTCCGACATGGCCCACACGGATTGGCTGAGCACATTATTTACTGACGGGTACCCTCTCCAGGCCAACCGAATCTCAGGAAGGAAGACCCCCGACAGCGCCAAACCTGGACGATCGAGTGTCCGGCCTACAACACCCAGAATGCATTACGGCCTATCACCACCATACTTGCAAGGCATTGAGAAGAGTGCGCCAGGAGGGGGCACGGACTACATTACCCATAATGCCCACAAAGGCGCAGTTTCCGGTGCATAGCCTACTTTCTGGCCGGCTCCATTCGTCCCCGTCAGGGGGTGGGTGTTGTTTAGGCTTAAGCTATAATTCACCCTTGAGCGAGGGCTCTGGTTGGAAGGAGGTGATCCGAGCTGCCTCAGGGGTGGGCGGCTGCAGATAAGAGCTGGTGGCTTCCCAACAGCCCAGCGTCCCTTATCTCCACTAAGCCCGCGCGCTTATCCCGCCTTTCAGTGGCTGGGGGACCTGATGCTACGCACATGCGCGTCTTTCCCATCGCCCCGTGCTGCGGAGGGGAGGGGTTTGCTGGGTCTGGTCGGGTATGTGCCGGGAAGGTTCATCACATGACATAATATTTGGACAATGTAGCACTTTAAAGACTAACAAGATGGTTTATTAGATGATGAGCTTTCGTGGGCCAGACCCACTTCCTCAGATCAAGTGGGTGTGGCCCACGAAAGCTCATCATCTAATAAACCATCTTGTTAGTCTTTAAAGTGCTACATTGTCCTGCATTTTGCTTCAGCTACCCCAGACTAACACGGCTACATTTCTATCACTATTCTGAATTGAAACGAGCCGTTAATTCCTAGAGCTGCCAGGACAGCCCTGCAGGGTTGGCAGCCCCGCGAGGCTGCGCTCCAGGGCCAGGCGCGAGGGGGGAGTGGAAGGACGCCTTGTGCAGGGCACGGTCCCCCCTGAGCTCAGCTGTCTCCGTGCGTTTCCCTGCGCCTTGGAGCTGCGCTGAAGCACTGAATCAGGCGGGGGCTCTGTCTGGTGAGGGCTGGAGAACAAGGGCAGGGCAGAGTCACTGCCAATGTCCCCAGCAGGCGAAGACCAGCAACTGCGTCCTCCCAACCATAGCTGCACTAGGGCGGAATCTGAATAGCAGTTCTGGGTTCTGTGCTACACCCAGGGCTGGAAAAAGAGCATTCTTAGAGACGCATGAGGGTGGGAAATTGAACCTGCCCCCGAAGGGTCATATAATGATTGGGGACATCTGAGGTCTGGCCTTTGTTTTTCAAAAATATAATTTTGGTAACCTCACTGGAAAGGCCCTCAACGGATAACACCAGAGCTAGCCCTACCAACCCAGTTCCTGAGGAATAGGTGATGGGTGAACCCATGGCTTGGAAAGCCACTATCTGTCCATATCTTCCTTCAGGAATTGGGAGGGGAAAAAATGTCCCATGAGTACATTGACATTGAGCTACACAACTAGCTGGCTAAATGAACCAATTTCTACCTTGAAAGACATATTAGAAAAGGATGCAAATGGTGGTTAGAGTTGTCACATGTCCCCCAGGCTTTATGGAAATTGGCTTATGAATATGCATAATTCAAAGATACTTTATTAAAAACAAGCAATCTAACATCAATTTTAAAGTTACTTGTTTAATGTGTATATCCTATTTTTGTGCATGCATCATTCTTGTATCTGGTTTTAATTCTAAATACGCTAAAGAGGATCATTAGTGATATTTTGGGAACTCAGTAACTCACTACTCAGGTATTGTAGGTATTAAACTTGTAATAGAGGTTTAAACAAAGACCGTAACTGGATTACCCACTACATTGCACACTCTAATGACATAAATATCCAAGCACTGGGTACTAACGAGTACTTAGAACCCACTCTATCAGCTTCATTTAGCATGGACACTCGTAACTCACAATTTTTCCCCTTCTCTTTTCCTCCCCATCTCCTTTCTTTTTCTGCTATTTATTTTGCAACCTTACCTCCATTCATTTGAAGAAGTGGGCTGTGCCCCCCAAAGCTCATGGTACCATCTACATTTTTTGTTAGTGTCTAAGGTGCTGCAGGACTATTTGTTGTTTTTTAAGTTTTTTCAGTTAGGCTATGTCTACGCTACACTGCTCTTCTGGAAAAAGCTACATAAATTGTGTTGTGACATGAGAGTAATTTGTAAGGTCATGCATAAAAATGCCAAAGAATCATCTAGGCTTTAAACCAGTGTTTGTCAAAGTGGTCTGTGAAACCATTTTGAGGAACCTGTTAACTGACTGTGCTGATTTGTTTATTTACTAGCATAGCAGCCATGGAGCCTTGTGGCTCCTATTGGCTCCATTTCGTCCTTTGCAGCCAAGGGGAGCCGCGAGAAGTGGTGGCCTGGACCATGCCGCTTCCTACAGCTCCCCTTGGCCACAAAGGACAAAATGGAACCAATGGGAGTCACGAGGCTCCATGGCTGTGGTGCCGGTACCGATATAAACAAACCGGGGTGGCTAGTTAATGTGTTTCTGAAAGTGATTCAGTGGAACACTTTCAGAAACACTGGTCTACACTGGGCCAAATGTTGGGAAAAAACCCTTTTTGGAACATCCCTTCTTCTTTGTAAAATGAGGTTTACAGTGCTGCCAAAAAAGCACAGGTACTCTTAAAAAAAATTCAAAAGAGGAGACATACACTGGGCCAAATGTTGGGAAAAACCCCTTTTTTGGAACATCCCTTCTTCTTTGTAAAATGAGGTTTACAGTGATGCCAAAAAAGCACATGTACTCTTAAAAAAAAATTCAAAAGAGGAGACGTGTTCCCTGGATGCGGCAGAATTTTTCTGTGATACTGAAAACTCTGCAGTGTAGACATAGCCTCTCAGACTAACACAACTACCCCTCTGAAACTTATATTCTGTTGATTCAGAGATCAGATGAGCAGGGCTCGACAAATTACCGAATATACTTGCCCGTGGCGAGTAGATTTCAGCCGGTTTCCCTGTTCACCAGCGGCATGCACATGTGCAATGCGGGTCTTGCACATGTGCAGTGCAGGGCTGGTGAGTAGGATTCGCTGCCGTTTGTCAAGCCCTGCAGATGAGCATATTAACGTGTAGATCGTATAAAGTGTAATAGTATTGTTGTCTTTTTCTCTTTGAAGTTTGTAGTAATTACCTATGAAATGCTTAATGGATAATTATCTTATGCTGATGAATGAACAAATTATCTGTGTATACATAAGAAATAGGAGGTTTTACTTCAAAGCCACAATGCTTCACCCAAGGAATACCTGCTGTCAAAAGGCTATCCATAGCTTGCCAGAGGTCTCTGAAAGAATTCTAGGATCCTGATCTTGTTATCTCAGATATGCTTAAATTTGGTCAGGATAAGCTTGAATCACAAAACTGAAGTGTCCAACTCCAGTCTGGATTTCCCTATAATTCCAATGGAAGAATTTAAAAAAACTCTGTATATAGACTACCTATTTGGACTATTACCTGATGAACTGATTCTGAAAAGAATTTTTTGCAATTTAACTGTTCATCATCTCTGCTGTGAAAATTACCTAATAAATGTATTCATATGTATTAACCACAGTGCTCTCTTTTGATTAAAAATTAGTTTAATTTAGCAGTTCTCAAACTGTGGGTCAGGACCCCAAAGTGGGCATGGATCTAATTTTAATGGAGTCACCAGGGCTGCCTTAGATTTGATGAGACCCATGGCCAAAGGTTGAGCCCCATTGCCTGAGGCCAAAGCCAGAGGACTCCTGATTGGCAGGGCTCATGTTATAGGAGAGTGGTTCTTAAACTTTTTAAGACTGAGGAGCACCAAACAATTTTTTTTAAGAGGAACACCAAAGAGTCTCTGTTGAGCCAAAAAAAAAACAAAACAAAACAAAAAAAAGTCAGGGGGAAAGTTATTGAGGGGAAAAAAAAGGTTGCCCTTTAAGCATGGCCATTTTGAACTCTGTTATTCTCAGCGGCACACCTCTGCCTGAGGCTGAAACCTTTGAGATTCGGCTTTGGACCTGCCTAAGGTCATGGTACTTGGGCTTTGGTTTTCCTATCTCTCGTTGCTCAGGGAGAGAGATTCAGCGACCCAGGCCCCTGCTTCCTGCAGCTTCCCTAGGCTGTAAATGGCGAACAACAGCCAATGGAAGCCACAAGGCTCCATGGCTGAAGAGCCAGTAACTAAACAAACAGGAACAACCTGGTAGCAGCTTTCTCAGAGGAGGTCCAGAAGCCACTTTGAGAAACACTGCTCTAGGTTTTCATTTTGTGCATAAGACATTATTATTTGTTTCTACTATCACTGTGTCTAGAAGCCCTAGTTATGCACTAGGATCCCATCGTGTTAGGCATGATACAAACACAGATCCAAAATATGGGCCCTGTTCCAAAGAGCTTACAAATTAGATATTTTTTGTTTTCATTTTTGTTAGTACTTCCAGTTAGTTTTGCTTTCTCTCCTTCATGTATTAGCACAAACCTTCAATGGTAGGCCTGAGGACAGTGCAGAAGAATATTGATGTCTTCTTTTAAAAATTTCCATTGGAATAGTAACAGGACACAGAAACATTTTCTACTGGCCTTAGATACGGGAAAAGCTTTTTTTTTAAAAAAAACCCTAAAATCTAAATTGTGGGCTAAAAGTGTTCCAGATAATTATCTACTCAACAGTTTTGATATTGTGCAGTGGGAGTTTTGCTCTGAATGGCAAAGGGAATTGTTGTCTCCCTTAGATAAAATGATTAGAAGAAAAAAATAATGCCCTTAATGAAGGTTTAATCAAAATGGATAAACAAAGCTTAAAAGTAAGCAAATCACTTTGTCATTTAGAAAGGTTTTATTTTCTTTCAAAGTGTTTAGTTGATTAGAATTGAACAGAGCAATGGATTATATAGCTATTGACAGTATGATCCAAAATGGAGCTGTGTGAAGAAAAAA